TTCCTACAGAACTACGCAGGCGGACGCGTACGTCAACCACGCACACCAAACACAAGCGCAGAGCGTAAATTCCCAAAACCTAATTAAACTAAAGCAATACCGTGTCAAAAGGAATGTTTCTCCCTCGACTCCCACATGCTGACGTCAAGCTCCTTCTTTTCGCTCCAGACGCAACACGATCAGTCAAAGGGAAACACAAACACAACAAACAAACACAAAAACAAAACAGGAAGCAAGAAAGCGAGAAGGATGTGTTCGTGTTCCCTGTGTCGGTCTGTCTTATGTCAAGTTATGTGACACAGCAGCTCTTGTTCATTAAATGAACTTCTGACACCAGTCCTTCGAGCCGATGTCTCAACTGGTAAACTCGATTTCAGGTTTCCAGTTAACAAACCTCAAGTTCTTCAAATAAAGGTTTGTTGAAACTATTCCAGCTGCTAGAAGTCTACAAAACTCAATTTCACTAGATGAATTCAAAATCATCGAAACACTTCCAAAAGTTCTCAAATCAAACTGGTTCTCATCCAAACGTGAATAACCAGCTCACTAGTCACAAGCTGACTAACTTCTCAAGAACGAAGTGATTCACACAAAGTGTCTGTACAACCTTCTTCTGAATACAAAACATAGACAGAACACAAAGTTCCTTCTCCAAATCAGTCTTCCACATAGAGATAGCATCTCACAGCTTCCAACCTCAATGTAGAATAGAATGTTCTGTTCGACATTGTCAATGTAGGTCAGCCAAATACAGTTGTATCGCTGAAGTCTTTCGACCACTGTAATAGCCAATCCACAATGTAGACACGACTTTGGTCTCAAAGCAATGTCGTCCTCATAGAGATAACCAAAGTCATCTCAGGAACGATAAAGTGCATACTATAAGATCAAGCGTATGATCCATAGGTCACGATGACGATGATGTAGGTATTGTCCTCACAATACCGAAACATCTCATCACAAAACTCTCAGACAAATAAGATGCCCAAATATGGCCATTGTCTTCACAATACCAATGCATCCCATAGTCCAAACTCAAAGTATGGTAGGTTCTCTCCATCAGATATTTCCAGCTAGCTTAAACTCTTCTCCAAGAGTTTCTAGCTGTGTTCTCATCACTTGGAGAGAATGAGCTTCATAATGTTCAGTGTCCAGGAATGTCGTGGACAAGAAGCGATCTCAATGTCAAACCAATGTAGGTATCTTCAGTTCAAGCAATAAGCTGTACCAGACTCAAGTCGAATCCAGAATAAGATGTAGAACTGATCAATATACCACAATCACTGGTCAACACAGATCAATGACATCATCCTGATGTCAGAAATGATAAGTCCGAAGACTAATAGAATATTGTGACACAGGATGGTCACATACAAGATTCCTTCTGCAATAAGTAGAGTGTTCTCTACCAATCTTCCATCGCGTCATGAAGTCTTGTAGTAGCCTTCCACGTATCTTCTGTGCACAAACTATACAACCAATGATGAATGACATGTCGCTTCACCCTTACCCAAAGGGTGTTCCCATAGGGTGTCAAATTTCCATACCCCCTTTCGACATGACATCTCATCCACTCACATCACTTTCCGGTACGGATACCAAAGAATATCCGCAGAAAAATGTTCACGTTCCAGATCATATCCATGATCAAAAGATATCCAAAGAAGAACACGTCTTCCAAAACACGATGTAGATGATGAAGCATCATCCAAAACTCATCTCGTTCAACTCATGCATAATGTCGTAACTTCCAAATTCAAAATCTTCTCTGTTGCGAAAACCAGATATAAGAATACCAGACTCAGTCCAAAGACTCTTAAAGTCTTTCCAGTACTAAACTCGTCTTCCAAAATCCAGTTCCTCGGATAAACCATGGCGTCAATAACGATGTATCTACAGTGCTGTTGTTTTCCTACAACGAACGAAACAACAACAACAACAACAACAACAACAACAACAACAACAACAACAACAACAACAACAACAACAACAACAACAACAACAACAACAGAACAAAACAAAACAAACACACACACACACGAGACCCAAGACGAAACCTAACGTCGCACGATCGGAGTCAACGCGAAAACAAAGGCCAACTGTTTCAGCTAATCCGCACCTTCGTGTAGAAGGTAGGCGTATGAAAAGAAAACGCAAGTGAAATGATATCACTCATGCAACTCATCTCAAATTCAAAGCAAGTGAAGTACAGTTCGCAGTCACTGCACAACAAATTCAAAATGTTCTGAGTGAAAATCTTTCACAGTCAGGGTCGGGACTAGCTAAGATTGGCACAGAATGAGGAAGCGGTGAGGGACATTTTGGCAAAACATCTCTCACAGCTTCATCATCGCATAGATCGCCGTCCCCCTTTCAACGTCTGATCCATCCTAAAGATCTCGGAGGTGTGGTATGTCTTGTTTGAGTCTATATCATGACATGAGGGTGCGATATGTCTACAATCATGGCATCAGATTCCCCGGAAGATTTTCCTTTTCTTAAACTCAGATTCCGCCTGAGTTTCTTCCCAGGTTCTCATCATGTGCCATGACAACACAATCATACCAAATGTTTGTGAAAACACTCACAGCATCAAGTTCCATGTTTCAAGCAACAAAAACTCAAGACATGAAAAATACCGCAATCAAGCCGAACAAGAACAACTTCAACTTTTCTTCATGATGTCTCCCTCAGATCTGTCAGCAACTCCAAGTTCTGAATGCCTTCAAGAACGTTGCTCTCGCCATCGTCATTGGGAGACACTTGGATGGCCGGGTGGTGTTGCAAGTTGTTACAGCACTTGCTATCTATATACTAGAGTTGCAAGTTACATAGCATACTTGCATAGGCAGTTGTAAGTGCACTTGTGGCACTTAGCTATGTACAACTTGGAGCATTTGCTAAATGTACTTAGCTAAGTAGGCTAAGTTCGCCAAAGTGCCCAGCAGCTTTTTTTTTCACTGTTTGCACCAATTTTTTTTTGCCCTCGGGCTTCACCGCGCTTGGGCCAAAACGGCAGCGGATAAAAGTTTTTTGCGGTCGGCCAGGGTCAAGATATCAAACTGCAGCCCTGGCAACCTTGTATACAACTTACACATGAAAAAAAATGCACCGCCACAGAGAGGTGGTTACATCAATCTCTTATCTTTTGGGATGCCCATCGATGCTGAGCTCAAATTATCAAACTGACAGGTGTGTTTTTTGAATTGTTCCAGCGAAGCCTGTGTATCAAAATGTCCTTGCTGTAATATTTAGAAGTTTTGCTCCAAGTAAATTCATTGCGCTGGTTTTTAAAGCAAATTCATTTTCTTGGGGCCACCCAACTATGCTGATCTTTGCTTCAGCGTAATGTGGCATTGTTCTTTGAATGCTTCGTTTGAAAAAAAATCTGTTTGAACATTACCATTTCTCCGTAGCAAATTGTTTCCAGCCCGCAAAATTCAAATTCTGCTTCCTGAAACTTTTACCTTTCCATGTGCACGTATGGGGAAACATCTGTATATGGAACAGCTATAACAGATAACACATCTGGAAATACATGTAGTGGATCTCACCGCCGGCAACCAAATGGGGCGCCGATGCGTGCTGGGCAGCTGCGGCAGCCTGCTTGCAGGCTGGGCATGGTTCGAAATACACCGAGGGGGATGCGGGCTATATATGTATATATATATATCTATCTATCTATATCTAATTACGTATATATAAAACACAGAACTGTATAATATACAGATATATATATATATATATATGCAGATGGTCCGATCCCAAAAATTGTTTGGGCACCCCGTCTACAGCAGATGTGCAATTGCCACGCGGGCAACCGGATGCTTCACTATATTGGCTATCTCACAAGGAATTTTATCCTTTCATATAGCATAGTTGCCAGTAACAACGGGAAGTGTATCTACTGTCTTATAATCCGTAGGGGCTCACCACATTGGCAATCATCAATCGTTTTACTTATAAGTCATCCTGGAAGCTGCTTGAAAACAAAGGCCATGCAATAAATTGCATGCTTCAGGAGCCTACTTGTCTATCTCCAAATCCAGTTGCTTCACTGGGATACCCTTCCAGGTTTGAGTAGATAGATAGCGGGATATATATATATATATATATATTTATATGTGCATATCATATTTACATATACATATATAGATACACGTATAAATATATATATATTTATTTATTTATTTTTGTTTATTTTATTTATTTATTTATCTATTTATATTTACGTATATATCTATATATGTAAATATATTTACACATATACATATATGTATCTCTCTCTCTCTCTGTCAAAATCACATAAGGGGTACACACCGACGTAAATAGAAATAAGGGGCTGAAATACCCACGTAATCTCAACTGCACTCCCAAGTATACTGCCATTGACATGGCAGCGACACACGTTTCCATACATATACTCATGTATATAACAGTCTTTGTGGCTCTTGTGGTCATGGGCAGGAAAGAAGTGCAGGTCTATACATGTACACGCTTCGGATAATGATATATGGTATCATCACGATTCAGTGGCACAGGCAAAAGCCATCTGCATTACCATTGTGAAAAATAAACGTCCGTTAATCAACAAACATGGGGTGAAAGTGCATTTTAAAGTGGAGTATACCGAGTCAATAGCCTGCCATTGTGTTCTCATGCGAAACTTGTGTGACAAAGGGTTCTCTTGTCGGTAGAATATAAACTATAAATACACATGCTGGCGAGTCAACTCCAAACAATTTTTGGCAAACCCTTGAATCCACCAACGGTCCCCCCCCACCTCCGTATCTGTATTTTCTTTGGGGAAATAGGTTTGGGGGAAGGGGGATACAGGCAAAACAACCGAGCAGTGTGTGGGCAGGGATCTTGTATACATAGTGAATTCGCCCGAAGGAAGGGCAGGGACACAGAAACAGTCTCGCCCACTGGACAGCACGCGCTGAAAACATTATTTTGGAAGCAAAGAGAACAATGCTGTTTATGTCAGGCAGGATCCTTTAAGGAACCACCAATACATTTCCAGACCGTTCTTTGGAATAAATGCAGCATCGTTTGATGGACTGCATATTCATGAACTGCGGATCATCCACAGGAGTGAGCCGATTGTTCCCAAGAGTGACCCACGGACTCCAACATACAAGCTGCTCGCCATTGGCCTCTACAAAGAGCCATACTTCGCCAACGCACTCCACATCCCCAGAGACAGCTACCACAACATCTTTTGCTGCACACTTGCTCGCAGCATCCAGGAATGCTTGCTTGGAACATTTCACATCCAACGGTTGAATCGGGGAAAAGCCTAGGAAGCGCCGAACATGGTCATGTAGAGATGGCGCGGCAGGAGAAGCCTTGATCATCCTGCAGCCTTCACCAATGGACAGATCTTGGAGGGAATTCAACTGGGCTAGAACCACCTGCCGAAGCAACCCTTTCTCAAAGGAATTGCTCAAATTGCAATTGTTGGAATCCGATGCATACTTTTTCAATTCTTTATGTTTCCTTTCATGTACCCAACAACTCAATAGGCGATGCTTTCGCAAGGACAGTGGTAAGTGGGCACTATAGTGACACTTCGGTGGAAACTGGGCTTCCCCGTATGCGTGGAGACGGGCAGTCACATGAACATTGATGGCTACCTCCAAACGATCAGCCGTAGAGGATTGGTTTTCCCATTTCAAAAGCTCCAAAACTTTGGCCAATGCCAAATAGGACCGCTTGGCTAGGTCCACCTGTCGCGAAACACCATTTGCAACCTTCTCCTTGACATGTGAAGTTGGCGCGAAATTTTTAAAACCCAGAAAGATCCACTTGCAACAGCATAATCAAAAAAAACTTATCGTCAATTGGTAAATGTTTAAATAGGTAAACCAAAGAAAACTGTTACATGTTGCTATTAACTGTTTGGAAGAGCTGCAACCACGAGCAATCTGAAGACGCTGTAGAGAGACAAACCCTCTGACGCAGAGCACGCCACTGCGGACCCATCGGCAACAAATTTCTCAAGGCATCGTCTGCCAGTGACCCCTCTTGAGTTCCATTGGTCAGGCCAAACAAACCCCTTCAAAAAGCGATCCGCTTCAGCAACTGTGACCACATCCTTAATTGCCTGGAGCAGCAAGCCCGTCTCCGTGTTCCAGACACCTGAAACAAAATATATGTGCATGTAATCAAATTGAGTCACGGATATTGGCCCACCATGAAGCTGGTGGTTGAGCAACTCTGGGCACCACAGTGCGCCTTCTGGCGCGTACTGCAATCCAAGTGCCATTTCAGACCTGGAAAAATTGGCCTTTGAAACCTGACCAAACTGCTGACGCAAGGCCACTGCATTTTGGATGATGGAATTGTCATCTTGCAGAATCCACTTGCTGACATCTGTCTCTGTGTGGGGTACAAAGTACCCGGTGGCATCGTTTTGCGCCACTTGCAGGGATGCAAGGGTCACATTTTTGCAATACAGACAAGGGAGGGTCCCGGAGGAGCCCTTGCAAGACCAGCACCCTTTCAGTGAAGGTTCATCTCCAACGACTAATCCAATTTTAGCCCAGAACAATCGGGTTCCATGTCCCCTGATGTTCAGGGCCAGACCTTTGGATATATCTAAAGGATCTTGGAAAAAAGCATTGCATGCCAATCGGAAAAGCTGGCTCCAGGTGCTCTTCATTGACCGCATCACCGACGACCTCACGGCAACGAGGTGATGCCAAAGATTCTCGTGCCCCACTGCGGCATCTAGTTCGCCGAATGCCCAGTATAGTGCGACCAGCTTACGGTCGTTTCGGGGTTTTAATGCGTTTCCTGGGATTATTTCATCGCTATACATCGATATGGACCAAGGGGTTGCTTGTGAGTTAGGATGCTCTTGAAGCTTTGCCGCGAAAAAAGTCTGCAAAGGAAGCCACCTCGGACACCATGTATTGAAGTAGCTGACATGGATTCACTAAAGGAATCTCCTTGCACGGGCCATCCTCCATCTCCACTTTCACACTGGTCCACAACTCACTGGGAAGCGCTGCTTCCCGCGCTCGTTTGATTCCTGCCCTGCTAGCTGTTTCTGGCAACCCATGTTCCTTGATTGATTTCAAGACTGCTGCTAAACCACTTTGGCTCACATACGAGTGACTGTGAGAAGAAGTCAGCACTGGATTGAGTGCTTTTTTGGGAGGCATTGTTTAACAATTGCCTCAACCACGAGCGAACGGCGCCCTGCGGTGTACATGGGCGAGATTCTCCATCAGCCACATCCCTGCCCTGTCTGCGTGATTGACATTTGACAAAGTGAAATCAAAAACTACCACCACAAGGCCCTAAGTACCTCAGCATGTGCACCACTGGCTACAAAATTGTGCATTGCAAGTTACACATGTCAAGTTGTGAGTTGTTGCAACTGCGTCATTCCTGGTCCTGAACATTGCTCCTGCTGCGGGTCTGCATGCATGGTGGTCCCTCGTGCTGACAATGACTACTACGATCTACTACTACGATCTGCTACATCCTTGGAACATTGTCTTTTCTAATAAATTGCTGGTGGATTTGCTTTGCCAATCGCCCCTCCAGTCAGCCAGCGGAGCCTGCTGCTCTCAAAAGTTTACCTCAGGAATCGGGCGGTGGAGAAAAACGAAAAACAAGTCTGCAAATAACACTTGAACGATCTAACAGCCTGCAACCCTTTGCAGGGTCCAATTATTGAATTGCTTTTACAGCTTGGGTCCAACAATTGAACAGCATGCAACCCTTGCCTGTACAATATTTTGTTTTCCCCGCAGCGAGCTGGAGTGTTGCCTGCCTATAGATACCCACAGAGCTACACACACAACATGCCTCTTGACATGTTCTGGACAACATGTCGACATCGATTGGGTTCTCAATCGACATTTTTCTGATCCTCGGCATGTGCCTCCTCGATGAGTTTCAAACATTTCTGCCAACTCTCTTCGGGGCAGGGCCCAACCCTGACCTTGCGGTCATTTCGATCATTCGATCGGAGAAAGACTCGGTAGTCATTGCCATTGCAATGGATCTTGCCTCCCAAATACCACACCGTTGGGCTTCCCTTCACCATTTGAGACGGCTTGTTCTCCAAGTCATAGATCACCCGCTCCTCTTTGGGAACCACCTTTGCCTTCTTGCATGGCGGCTCTTCATTTCCAGGCTCCTGCCCAGATGTCTCTTTCTGTGACTTGGCCTTGCTTGCGCTGGCCTTTGCTGTGACTTTGGCCTTTGGCTCGCCCTTGGCTTTCGCCTTGGCTTTCGCCTTGGCCTTTGATTTGCTGCCTGGCTTCTTCCGATCAGGTTGCTCAGAATCAGCCTTGTCAGCCTCTGCAGCCTCTGCTGCCTGCTTGACCTCATGCTTGATTTCCTGGCGGCTCTTCACAGCCGCATTGTACTTGGCAATCTGACTCTCTGGAGTGATGTCTGGAAAGGTTAAAGCCTTTGGCGATGGCAAGTTGGGTTTGTCCTCACCTGCCTTGAAAAGTGGTGTGGAAGCCTCTGGCACTGCTGGCGGCGTGGAAGCCTGTGGTGCTTTCACGCTTGCAGCCTCGGCATGAGGCTGGTCTGGCAAAGCAAGCTGTTCTTGCTTCGGCGGTGTAGATTGCTCATCAGGGCTGCCATCTCCAATGGCACGTCTCTTGGAAGCAGGCGGCTTGAAAGTGGTCAACGAAGCCGCATTTTGCTGGTTGCCCTGGCTGCACATTTGCATCATAAAGTTCATCATCATCATGGCACACTGTTCCATAGGTGACCCTGCAGGGGCGGTTCCCACCGATGGGCTGGAGGCGCTCGCTGCAATCGGAGCACCCGCTGCAACTCTCAAGTTGCGATTGCATGCCCTCAACGGAATGCTCGCAGCTGAAGCAGCAAGGTCGAGAGAAGCGGTCGCCAGGCTGCCATATGAATCGTCTTGGTCATATGCCCTTGCCAGCAAGTTTGGGGGCAAATCTGCTGGGTTTGAGGGATACTTCACAATGTGTTCATCATCAGCAGGCTTTGCAGCGCCTTTGATTGCTTGCTTCAGCATACGCTTCAACTCTTTGTGGAGATTGTACAAGGCATCCGTTGCAGTTGGTCGGTGCAACCCTGCATCCATGGCCACAGCCAAAATGTGGCGTGTTGTTGGCTCCGATGGCAAATGGAGCTTCAACCTCACCAAACGAGTCACAATTTGGTCCAGCTTGTGGTGGGTTGACACCTGGTTGTCACGCAGGACCTCCAAGTCCTTATTGGAGAAGTATTTGATGAAATCCAAAGCCTCCTGCAGCTGGCGCCTATGGCCTTGAGAAGCACCAGCGCTGGTCCTGAGAACGCTGGAGTTCACAGCAGTCGCCAGCTGCTGCTGTTGGGCGTTCGTCCATGGCCCTACCCGGACCATGTCTGCGAACTGCCTGCCCGCAGCTGCACTCAGGTTCAGGGAACTCAGCCGCTTCTGCCACACCGCGGCCTGCTGCTGCACCGCGTCCTCCCCAATCAGTCCCTGCTGGGACTGCAGGAACTCCTGGATTTGCTTGAGCTCATCCAGTGCCCTGCCTTCCGCTGTGGACATGACCAATGACCACAGCACAAGCAGCGAACTACCACAGAATCTCCTGTGAGCAAAAGACCGGTGCAAAAATCAATTCAAAACGCACGAGCTGGACAGCCCTGTGCACAATGAAGTGTATCCACCCGAGACTTCGACTGTTTTCAATGTCAATGTGCACGAGCTATAGACAGCCCTGTGCAAATTAATACAAAGGCAAATATTTCCATCAGCAACTATCTTATTTCCACTATCTTTGACTTCAGCAAGAAAAAACAAATCAATGCGCGAGCACACCTGCCCTGCACATACAGCACAAATGACATATCTGGATCATGCTGGGTCACCGAACTGCCACCTGCGCTGCACTGCACATGCGAAAGCGGTGGGCCTGAGCCGCGGACAGGTTGAGCGCCTATTTGTGTATATATATATATATATCAGTGTTACATGTATTTGTATTTTTATTGACTCATACATTTATATTTTTTTATGTACCTATCTATTCCTGGATAAGAATAACTACAAAAAAAACTACCAAAAATGCCGTTGTTTGGTACTTATTCCAGGTGTATATACACATCTATATTTATGTATTGGACGCATACACTCATCATATATCTTAACGGGCTCTTGTTCTGAAATTGAAGATCCAATGAAAATCGTGACATGGTTTCCAATCTAGCCGCACCGTTCTCGTGGCAACTTGTGTGAAACTACCCTAGACCTCTCTTCCCCATGAATAACCTTTCACATATCCCTCTGGCTATGTAATTTCATTGGACTTTGGCTATTGCATGAACCGAGGGATTTGGCATCGCCCTGCGGCCAATGGTTTTCTAGCTCTAAGGAGTCAACATGCTGCACCACAGAGTCACACAACCAAACTGTCGCATTCATTTGTCACCTGCGGTTGGGTCTGGATTGGGCGGCTTCAGCATCGTCAAAACCAAGCCTATCAATCCAAGTCAGAGGTCTGACCTGTGTACTTGGACGTCCATCTCACTAAAAGTGGTTTGTAATCAATAATTGGTGGTAAATGGTATACCCCATTTACTCAATGAAATGCACCTCCAAGTCTGGATGCTGTTTAGTTTCAAACACTGTTCGTCCCTCTGACAAGCATTGCAAAAATGCCACATGTCGCTAAAACCTATGCAGCCTCAGTCAGCAGCGGCATCACGGCGGCACCACTGCATCTTACAATTCGGGTGCATGCCGTACGCATTCTTGATCACCTGGTGCTTCGACATCTGGTTCTCCTTCACTGATTGGGCCTTCAAGTCTTTCAGGGCATTGACCACTGTGATCTGTTCCTGGCTGCCGTAGAACATGACCTTGAAGGGCTTGCCGCTCATGGCATACGAGTACTGCACTGCCACAGTCAACTCGTCCTCTGATCGCGTCCAATCCCACGTCACCACGATGGTTCCCCCAAGGGATCTAATGACCACTGGCGGGTAGCGCTTTGTAGGTTGCTTGGCCGAGTGCTCATACATCATGATGGTGGTGTTCCCAACCACCTTGACCTCACTGGCCAAAGAAAACCTCTGTGAGCTGCAGTACTTGCCGCTCACATTGAGGCGCAATGGTTGTCCCTTGTCTGCCTTCTTCCACCACTGTGAGGACACCAAGTGGAACTCGTCGGAGGCGGGAACCCTGTAGATCAAATCCACACGTGGATCTTTTGCCACAGCCCATTCCCACTCATGCTCGGCCTCTGACTCTGACTCTGAGCTGTAGCTTGAAAGCTCAAGATCAGGCATCTCAGCGTCAGAGTCAGGATGGGGAGCAGCCATGGGCGAGCAAGTAGCCAGTGCCCTGCCCTAAACAGCACGAGCTGTGGTGCCCTGTGCAAACTTGATATCACTTCTGATGGCCACTGGACATGACCACTGCATCTGTCCAACCGACATGCAACCAGCCCTGCAACATTTCCAACGACACAAGCAACCCTTGAAGCCGGTGGTTTTCCCAAATTATTTTCCCAAATTTATTTGCCCAAAATTGTTTTCGATTGAAACAAGATTCCAACCCAGGACCTTCAAAGGAAATCTTGTTTTGATATGTGATATATCATGATTTATCGTTCGATAAAAACTTCAATATACACATTTCACATTTTTATCGTTCGATAAAAACTGGAAAACTGATAGTTAATATTTTTTATCGAACGATAAAAACCTCAAAAGTGAAATTTCATTTTTTTATCGAACGATAAAAAACCAAAAATTGATATTTCATTTTTTTATCGAACGATAAAAAACTAAAATTTGATGTTTCATGTTTTTATCGAACGATAAAAACATAACGGAATGCTGCCCGTTTTTTTGGCATGGGGTTTAGGGTTTAGGGTTTAGGGTTTAGGGTTTGGGGTCTTGAATGTTAATGTTTCTATATTTTAAAAAACCAAACAAAACAATGAAACTGTGAACCCTTAATATTCAACCCGACACATCTGCAATTCTCCCAAACATTCTTAATCTTACAGATTTTATTTACGAGGAACATTTCTGTTTGATTTTGGCACCCTGACTAACTCATCACCAGTCATATCCTTCTTTTCAAAGCACAAAATAGATGTTCAAAAATGCATTGCTTAGTGGGTTGTTGGAGGGTCTCCCCGGGTCTCCACATTAAAATCTTCTTTGGAAATTTCTTGAAAGCCGTACACACTCGTGCTGTTCATTTGTTTTGCTGTCGCAGCCGGCACAGTGCAGCACATGTTAAAAGGTCGGGTAAAAAGTGGCAGCACACATGCTTAACCAACACAATTTGTTTTGGTGATGAAAATAAATAAGCTTAAGATCAGCTTGTATCTCCATATCCTTGGCACCACGACCCGAGTCGAAGAGGCTCTTAGCTGGATTCCTAGTGTCACTGGCTCCCAATTCCAATATGAAGGAAACACCGATAGAAACAAACAAAACATGTGAAACAGCTATGTTGAATAAATTGTGGGTGTGATAGAAAACAGCGTGTATATTTCCACCTTCACCAGGTTAGGAGGGGCCAATGGTCTGTATCTAGGATCTACATCTTTCCCAGCAGCTGCTGTATGGAGCTCCATGCCAGCAAGCGCTCCTGCTGGGACACTGCCTCACCAGTGGATGAAGCCGCAGAGGAACGCAGCTCCAATTTCTCACGCGAGCCAGAACCGCGACTCCTCTTCCGTGCTCTGCCCATGCCACACCTCAAGGCACAACAAACAGAGGACACCCAGAAAGGCATCTTGCTGGGGAATTCATTTTATATTGTGATGACTTCCAACAAAAGAAATATTTATATTTCTAGATATGGCCTAGGCGCTCCCATTCGTTACCATCATGATCACGATAACCATCTTCTGTGTAGATGCCCCCATAGTCATCCCTTTTACCTTTGTTGGCTGCCTTTCCGGCCACCATCTGGCGATCCCTCCAATGTTGATATGCCCATGCTGGCTTCCTGATCTTAGATTTGGTTTTGTGCTTCCCTTTGGACCAGCCCTTTGCCCATGACTTGTTCTGCTGATTTCGCAAAGAGCCTTTCCCGGAACCATACTGATATTGATTTTGACGGTCATGCTGGCTGGTGTACGCCCAATGGTGGGAGTCAGACCATGTGTGCCATTGGCTGGAATCCTGAATATCCTCATAGCTTGTCTGGTGGTCAGAGTCTGGAACTGCTGTCTTCTCGTCGGGGGTCTGTTGGGGCTGGTGCTCATATGACCATTGGTCCCATGTGTCCCATTGAGTGGAACTATCACTTTTCACACCTTCCTCCTCAACCTCCTCTTTCACGGCACCATCCCAGTCCCACCAACCATCCCACCAAGTCGAATCCCAGGCATCATTCCCTTCCTCCTCAGGTTCCGTCTTCACCTCCAGCAATGGGTCTCCAAGGGCTTGCAACGCTCTAGCGATTTCATCGTCGGGCAAATCCAGGTCCTGGTGAGAACGTTGGCAAGGAAAGTCATGGCCTAAAATGGGTTCAAACTGTTGACTAAACTAAACCTGACCTCTAGCTTGAGAAAAAGAAACAAGATTGGATTGAATCTGATCTATTCTGAAATGACCCCTCCTCAGTGTGGGAAGATAGAGCAGCAGGCGTATCCGAAGCTGCATCAAGCGCCTTCGCAGCATGCAGCGTTTCAACATCAGCTTCTCCATGGGCCGAAGACATGGGCACACCAGGGAGACTAAAGATTGGTAGCGCACAGGCTTCAACCCTGGCAAAAATGTTCGATTTGGCCTGAGGTTGACAACATTCACAGTGGAGAGTATTGCCTGATAATTGTCACAATGAAAACTGCTGTAAAACTGTAAAACATTGAAAATGCCACGCGCTCTTGAACCAACGGTTCACGCATCATCACCATGTGCAAAAAAAACACTGTTTTCAACCATCCCCACACTGTTGCATTTGAAGAAACAATTTGTTGCATCATCGAAAAAACATTTGTTCGTGAACACATGCGATGTGAGTTGAGATTGTGGATTGACGCATCTGTTTTGGCAATTTTCTTTTGCTTTGGCACTCCACAAAAAGGCCCCAGGAATGGGGGCCTTTTTTTTGGTGCCAAACCAACCGGAAAATGACAAATCTGTTTTGCAAAGATCAAGTTTTGGCCAAGCAACCAATTCCAGCCACATGGTTAACATTGACTGTACTCAGGCAACGCACAATAGTACTGAAACAGCGCAGGGCCTATTTAGTGAGCTCGCGCAAGAGAGAGAGAGAGAGATAGAGAGAGAGAGATAGATATATATATATATATATAAAAGCAAGCGCAGGGCTAGAGGAAGAGCTCGCGCAAGCAACACAAAACTTACAGCACAGTGCCTATTTGGAGAGATCGTGCAAAAAGGTCAGGATAAGGTTTGTTGAGTGTCTCTTGAAGAAAAAATCGGAAACCCTTGTGGTCTTACCATCAGAAAATTTCAACAGGGGGTCAAAAGGGGGGGACTTGCAACACCCCCTACCAGATTCGGGGCGAAGATATTGCTGATGCTGAAACAGTGCGAACCTGAAAAACCAGCATTCTACCACAAATCAGCAAACAAGTCTTCAGGTAATGAGCTGCTCTGGGATGGCCCCATTGTGGGGCACTAATTATTCTTAGGTTTCTGATGCGCTTTTGAAAAAATAAGTAGGTGGTTGTCTCTTCTTGTTTTTTTGCAACATTCCCAGACATGACATAGCTGCACTACACTATTTTCCCAAACTGGGCTGCGCCATCCTGTGGACGGGCTCGATTCGATGATGGCCACATGTAGCAGCTGCTACCCAGAAGTCTTCTAGCTAGAAACATCTATCTGAGTTGCCTCTTCATCCTCATCGCGAACTGGTGTGAATGGTGATCGGGGCTGCGCATCCGTCCAAACTTCACCAGCATCAAATTCAACTGGAGGAACTTCGATGGGAGAACTTGGATATGGCAGAGTGTCAGGCAAGTCGACTACTGGTCGACTCTCCTCCTTCGGGGCTCTTGGAGCAGACTTCACAGCAGCGGCCTTTGCCTTTGCTGATGCCTTGGGAGCTGCCTTCGGGCTTGACATGAATCTTTTGAGTCTTCTGAGTTTGTGGGTCTTGCCCTTCTTCTCCTGCCCCTGGCTGACGAGCTGGCGCATATATTCCAAGTTGGTCTCAGTCAGCTCGAGCCACAAAGTGGAGCTGTCCAAGCCCCACAGCACTCGGGCTCCAAACCCACCAATCTGCTTCGAACCCACTTGGATCTCATCCAGCTCAATTACCACATGGTCGTCCACCAAGCTGGAGTCCTCCTCCCGAATTTTCCTCTTCTTCGCCTTCTTGTCTGGATTCTCGCCTCCTTCAGATTCCAGGGCACGATGGACCGCTGCAATTGAAGCAGCCTTGCGCCTTGCAATCAGCTCATCAAACTGGGACACATTGGCAGAGCATTCGTTCTCCCCCACTCTCATCCCTTTCCGTAAACAAAACCAAACGAAGGAGCGGTCAAATTTCTGGAGCTTGATGTATGGCCTTCCTTGACCATCATCTTTGGTGTTGGCCACCCAATACTTGCCCCGCCCCTTGGATGGGGTCCTGACCACCCAGCGGCGCTCAATGTGCATGGTGGCTGACTGCTGATCAGCATCAGCAGAATCAGCAGAGGACGCCATGATTGCCGCGAGCAAGAGCCCTGCGGATTGCGCGAGCTTGTTTGAGACAGCCCTGCGCATCTATGTATGGCCTACTTCTGGCTTTACCACTTGTTTCCTTCACCCAAAACAAAAAGAATCAAACAAAGACCTGTTGTCATCAACATCTGTCACATTTCACATGGCAAATAAAGTGAAGCCACTCTGGCTACAGCTACAAAATGCTTGAGGTCCCCAGCGTTCAAGGAAGCTTCTGTCCTGGAATGAAGTGTGGCCTCGAAGAACGGCAGCAATGGGCGGCTATACATACAATACTGGGCTCGCCATATATAAATATATGTAGATGTATATATACTATATATATGTGTGTGTGTGTATATGTATGTATGTATGTATGTATGTATGCATGCATGCATGTATGTATGGCTTGAGCACAAAATAAATAGGTACAACTACATGGTAGTTGTACCTATTTCTTTTGCGTACACAAATGTATGTATCTTTGTATGTATGTATGTATGTATGTATGTATGTAAGTAAAAAGGCATCTGTATAATGTACAATAAAATACATATATTCGCCATATAACAGACATATTTCGGACAGTGTGCTGCATTGAACCTTCACCTGCCTGGAAGATCTGACCACGTCGTTGCAATTGCTTCAATTCTTGTCAATAATCCTATCACACGGTGGACTTGTCATCCCTATAGCTGGCGAGCAATGAAAGCATGCCCTGCCATTGTGCACGAGCTCTACATGGCCCTGTGCTGGAACCACACTATCACCCCAGGTTCCCGGGCGCCAAGGCTGTGCGCGCCTGACCACGCAAGGCTTGGGGCAATGCGATTTTTGGGGGCAAAAACGATTTTCCACTAGAATAACAGCTGACTGCCACTGTTCATTTCTTTTTGGTGACATTCTTTGATCGAAAATATCCAAACTGCTACCTGCCAACGCTCTTGCCCGCCCACTACGTTCAACGAGATCAAACTCATTGCATTGGCTCAAAGAAAACGGTAAGGCTATAAATCTCGGTCTGAACCATTGTTCATTGTTGAGAAGGAAATGGGCATGTTTAAGGCAAGGGGCTTGCAGTGGCCAATCAACTACCCTTTCCTATACGTCGACGTTTGGGTTCCGGAACCAATGGTTCCACTTGGACCTCTGGCTTGTCCTTCTGGACATACCGTAGCAGCACGTCGTTAGCTGCTAACTCTTTGATGTTTCGCATCACAGGAATTGTGAAATTTGGATTATTTGTAGCCAAATCAAATTGCGGTTCAATTGATACATTGGCCTTGTCAGGGTCGTGTGTGACCCGTACGGACCAAAAGGGCTGGAGAAATGCCTTGTCAAAATTTTGATCTTTGTCGGGGCCAACGAAACATGAACCCACCTGGAACATGGTACCATTGATGGTTCCCAAAGATACCGACCCTGCAGCTAATTTGTCACGAGTTTCAATCTTCGTGCTGCAAGGCACAAGGCACAGTTTACCAACAGGAAAGGCCTTGAGTGCAATGACATCCCTGTGTGGTTTCAATGTCATTTTGACGCATGCGAGAACCCTCTTGTGTTTCTCTTCCATGTCAAGAAGAGTCTTAAAAATTTGACCCTTCGTGACACAGATCTTGAATTCCTCAGATGCCAGCGCTGAATACAGCGAGCAATCAAGGACCTCAAGAGGCGGTTCTGGTTTTGTTTTGAATATCTTCCACTGACCTTTCCGGAAACCTTCGGTTGACACATGGGCTCGACCCGTGATGGGGCCGTCATCTACATTGATAGTGATCTTGTCGCCAGCCATCGCCTCAATGGTTCCCTTGATCTTGTCCTGCTTTCTCATCACTGCCTGCCCCACCTCAAACCCCAACTCTCGCACCAAGGAAACCTCCTCGCTCACCTTGCCATCATCGTCAACATCTCTGATCCTTGCATTGGGGCAGGTGCTACCACTGGTCAGAGTTACCGCTGATCCAAACTGCGTTGACATGAGAACAACAGAATTCCACAGAACTCCAATCCCTTTAACCTGCCTGGTGGAAATTTAAAAGCACCAATAATTATATACTTAGATTTCAGCCAAAGATTCAAAGCTCCTTTGGAACACTGAGCTGCCGCCGTGGGCACAACAGTGGGGCGAAACGAATCATAGTCACTGGTAAGTTTGATTTGGGTAAGCTCCTCAATCTTATCTACAAAGAGACATGCAGCCTCCTCATTGCTCTTGACTCCAACCTTCTTGTCCAAGGCCAGAAGAACGCATGTATCTTCAAATTCATGCAATAGCTCTTTGCACCCCACTGCGACCTCACGGTCCAACTTGGAGAAGTCAAGCTTGGATGAGAAGTGGTTGCGAAGTCTTTTCATGATATTCTGGCACAACTGGAGTTTTGTCAAAATGACGGGGTCCTTGGATACAACCTTTCTCGCATCTGCTGCCCCGATCATCTTCCTATCTTTCCCAGAATATGCCAGACTCAAAAGGGCATGCCTGAACATCACGAAGGTCTCTTGTTTGGTGTCTTTAGGATCCATGGACAAGTTCTGATAGGAATCACGCCCCAGACTCCTGGGCCCATCCTTGGAAGCCTTGATTCGCGCCTCCGTTTGCGTGATTCGTTCTTGCAGACTTGTGGTAGAACCATAGCGAACCAGAAATGTAAACATTTCTGGTATCGCTTCGTGACACTGCGGTTTGGTTTTCATGATCGCCTGCTTGACGGAGCTGAAAAGGATCTGTTTCCCCACACCCCCATGTGCATTGATCGAGTTCATCACCCTCTTCAGGATCTGAAACTCAGACTCCCCTCTGGCCAATTGCGCAGAAGCGTTGCATCCAGCTTGGATGATGTCACCCAAGCCCTTGACATCCATAGCATCTGCCGAAATGACCCTCCACGTCAGCCCCTTGGTAGCGGCTTCATACATGGCGACGTCAACTTGCTTGACCTCGCAGGGTGCTCAACTTGCCCCTCCTAATTTGACCCTTCTTGAATGTTGGAGAAAAAATAGGATACAGTTACATGGTATTGGTCCATGCCAACCTGCTCCAAGTTGAGCTTCCCTTGAACAACTAAAGGGCTTGATGAATCGTGCGGGGTGCCTGCCACGATGCAGCGCAAAGCAGCATTGGTATGACTGGCGGATAGGGATGCATGCCGAAGCTGTTGTTTTGGGATTGGCGGCAAGGCCCCACCACTTGCTTCGGATAGCCGATGGTTGAAGTTGTACACCTCATCAGACGCCACATCCACGCAGATGCCATCGATCTGCTTGTGGTCAAAACCCACTGTGCATAGGTCGTCCAGCAACCCGTGGGTGTGGGTTGCTGAGATGCCAAAACCATCTCGATTTGCTGGGTGCGTCCCTACAAATTGAGGCGCGATCTGCTGACTTCGGAGAAGGCCCAAAGAGCTAAGTTTGGCCAAAAGCTTCTGCACCCCAACCACAATCCCAATCCGGTTAGCATCCGCAACTGCTTCTTCCAGCTCAGTTTTGGCTGCTGGATCTAAGGGCATGGCCGCTGGATCTACAGATTCAATTTTTGATCCTCTGTGCTAACAGCGAGCTCATGTCCCTGCTGTTGTGTTCATGGTCGAGCTCCAGAGGCCCTGACCTTGATTCCTTCTGGTGGAAGGTGTTACCATCCTACTTATAGAACTGAATCCTCCCTCCCCCCCGGGGGGTATCTGGTCAAACCCTGTTTTATCATAAAGGAACACAGCATATGAATTGGAAAATTACATTAGGAAACAACTAAGGGGGGAACCAATTGGGTTTGACCAGATACCTTAAATATCCCAACTGCATATCCAAAACCATTCCCATAACATAAATAAGAAAAAACAAAATCTTTTATATAGGATCACCCTTAAAGCAAAGGAATCACCCTCTGATATGGGTCCATGAGACAATACAAAACGGTTGGACACCAGGAAAAAAATCGCAAACATGTCTTAAGCCCTTTTCCAAGCCTTAAGCTTCAATACATGAGATTGTTGAACAAAAGTTGGTTTGTTTCATATGGTCGTGTTTGGATGCGTATGTATACCCCGCCAGATTCATGGATATCATTGGTTTACTTTTTGAACTCGAATGTGACTTTTCTTTTTCGTTTGGGAATTGGTTTTTCATGCAACATATTGCTCGTTTCTAGGCACAGGATATTTACCCAGAGAACGGAAAAACCACACACCAACCCTGGTCGGCGTGGCCGGCCTGCGTGCAGGCTGCCGCGCAAGCCCAGCAGGCACATGAGTGTGGCACCGGGTGAGATGGAACCACAGTGTTTAAGTGAAAAAATAGTTTTCGTATCTTGTCAAATTTGAAAGGCATATGGGCCTATATTTAAGTTTCTGTAAAAAACGGAAACCACACAAAAAGTTAGCCCGAAACCATCATTGTAGACATTCAGCCTGTGAACACAGAACAAATCTTCAGGGACAGCGACTTTACAGCTGCGCATGGATGCTGATCAATTTTTGTTTCTCATTTTTCAAACATGTTCCAACGGCCCAGAATTAGAACAATAGGGAGTTTTGGTGCAAAAAAAACAACACCCCACAGCGAAGGAAACCAAAGGACATGGTGGCATTTTTGTTTTTTTTGGTGGCTGGTGGCAAATTAAAAATGTGTCCGTATAAGTTAGCGAACATACCACATGAGCCCTAAGTGCATTTACATCTTACTTAGCTGACTTAGCTATGTATGCTATGTATGGTGTAAGTAGGGCTAGTTACATAACAAACTTGCAGTTATGTTCTCGTATGTTTGCGCATGTCCTCCACGGAACTTGACGCATATATAAATATTTCCATCCAGATACAAATACATAGCAACTGCGTTGACTTCACCAAGTTACATGGTGATCTTGAACACAACATACAGGTTCGCTAACATCATGTTAGCGACCTTGCAAGCTCAACTTGGAGCACATGTATGTCCACTGGCAAGTGATCCATGTGCACTGACTATTTGCAAGGCCACCCGGCCATCCAAGCATATGACAATCAAACGAACCTCAAACTACCCAAAAAAACAATATGCAGACAGAGTTATGTCCACGGCGTCAAGCAGCGTGTCTCGCCCCCCCCTTTTAAACTCAAGCTTGGTACCGGTGCTCAGCCATATCGTCCTTTCTGAAAACAACGAGTGAACCTCGAGTTGACAGAATCAACTATTCTCTTGTCGTCACACCAGGCGAATTCCGGTGCCTTTGGCACTTTGCTCAGGCATAGATATCAGGGGTACACCCTGCGGTATTCCCGCGTCCCCTGAATCTGCATATACCCGAGAGGGGAGAACGCTGCCGTCCCCGTCAAAGGATCGTGACGTGGTGTGGGTGAAACAGATCTGATACGCCCCGTGACTTCCTCGATCACCTGAGAAGGTGGTGATTTGATGTCTTTCACCTCAAGAGCCAGGGGATAGCTCATTGGGACTTCGCCCATCCTTGCCGGGCTGTAACCCGCGAACTTCACCGTCGGCAACGTCGGCGGTGCTGGGATCACAGGTCTTGGGGGCACTGCCGGTGGAGGCGGGAGTTGCCCAGAGCTCAAACTCGCGCCAGGTGCCGGCGTCATAGGTGCCAATGGTGGACTGCTCTGTGACATGCCAGGATGTCCCATGGGTGGCTGCGGAGGATCATATGCTGGAGCTGCCTCTGGCGGCGGTGTCCCCTTTTCAATCCTCTCAGCAACCAGCTTCATATTTTCTTGTAGCTTGTCCATTGATTCGTGGAGCTGGGTCATCACATCCTGCAAGGATTGGTCTCGCTCCATGCGACCTTTCTTGTTATCCTTGAGCACGTCCTTCATCGAGACGTCCAGCGACCACTCCAGGTGCTTTTTCAATTTATTGAATTCACCCACGACTGCACCCACTCTGCTGGTGTTGTGGTTCACACCAGCAGCCAACGATTCTGATGCCCGTGCCATGTTGTTGACTGCCTCTCCCACGATCTCTAGGCTTCGGCAAAGGTCCTGCTGAAGAGTTTGTGTACTCTTAATGAGGGGCTCAAGTTTGTCCGTCGACCCTTTCAGCGCAGCGACCATCGAAGTGATTCCCACAGCCAGATCCGTGGTAGAGCTCAACAGGTCCGTGGCATCACCATGATCAAGTGGCCCATGCATTCTCAACCTTGGGGATCTCGATCTATCATCATCTCTTCCAGCATCTCCTTCCTCTTGGTCTTCCTTGTCATCTCCATCCATACGGGCAGTGTCCTGCTCTTTCTCTTTCTCGGAATCCGTCTCAGCATTTCCTGTCTGTGCCGTCAACGGTGGATTCTCAGACAAGGGAAGCTCTCCCTCTGCTGTTGGAACTGCCGGGGCTGCTGGAGCTGGCACGTTCGCTGCCATGAATCGTTCGAGTCTCCTAGAGAAGGCCTGATGCACTCGCTGGGATAAGCCGGGGCCCAAATACAGCTTGGGCATAATCTGCAATTCAACTTGACAATCCATCTACTGACCATGCAGATTACAACTCAGCCGTTTCATGCCATGCCAAGCACAAACTCTCTCTTGTTCATCCTAAGGTGCGTGACGCACACCTTAACAGATGATACACACTTCCGACAAAGATCACTCACTACTACCCCAAGATGCGTGCCGCGCATCTTGACAGGTAATATGTGATCGACCAAACTTCAATGTCTCAGACAAAAACAAAAATAGTGCAAACTTGTGGCAAACCGCAAACTCAATCCAAATCCAACTGCCAATGCATGCACAACCCTTCACAACACTGCAAAGCAGATCACCGTGGTTTCCGTGCACATGAAACCCATAGATATGTCATGCAGCAAAAATGAAAACTCATGCAAAGCTCGTGACAGCTGACAGAAAACTACTCACACTGAGTTCCACAAGTCCAAGTTCCGTCCAGTCCGAAATCGTCCAACACCTTGAAGTTCCAAGACATCCCAAAATTGTCATTTCACTCCAATCTCAGCTTGACAGCTCTTTCACCACAGCTTTTGCATTTCTCCTCGCATCTGGCGTCGGCTTCCAAGCCTAGCACTACCACCCGGCCTGGAACCATTCCAAAAACCTATACATTGTGAGGATATTTCCTCTGTACTCAGACGATCTGGTGAGCGTCCGCGGCAAACTTGTATAATAAGTTGCCATTCTGGTCAAACTCCATAGCTTTCATCGTGCCCTGCCAACGGTATTCGTTGGGCTTATATTTCAACAAAATCCCCGCCTCGGCCTTCTGGAGATAGCCAATGGCGGTCAGTTCAACCTCGACAAGGACATAATCCTGGGCACAGAACTCACCCTTGGGACCTTCCGGTGTCCAATCATTGAAGTACTGCGCACGCTCAACGGCAGCAACCGGGTCTTTTCGTAGTCCAAACCTTTTGGAATATTCGTCAGGCTGAATCTCCTTGCCATTGTTCAAGTCCTCAAACTGCTTCGGAGTCAGAGCCAACCAAAGACGAATGGATTCCATTGCCATTGATGCCATAGGATCTCAAAGCGATCGTGAGGGCAGCTGAAATGCAAAAACACTGAGCCAAAGTTGTCTTATAGTAAAACAGCAAAAGTGGAATGAAACCTCTACAAACATGAGAAGTCCAGACAAAATGTCACGTCAAGTCCAGCATAATAGACAGCTCTATACTTCGTCTCTCACTTAGACAGTATGTCGAGCCACAAACTGACATCACATTTACATTCATTTCAGTCAGTTTCACGTTTTGGAACCTATGCAAGTCGTAATCGCCCCTGCCGTCCAGTTCCCTTTGTCTCTTTCTCTCTTACTTAATCTGTTCTCTGAGCCTATGCACGTCTGCACTCTAGCTCATGTGTGAACCTTGCAACGTCTTGCAATCTGGTCCACGTTTTGACTTTCTACAACTTTTCTTTTCCTTTTGGAACCTATGCAAGTCGTAATCGCCCCTGCCGTCCAGTTCCCTATGGACCTATGCAGCGCCTCTGCCATCCAGCCCATTTCTTTTCTTTTGTTGTAAGTCAAAACTCTTCAATTCCAAAAGAAAATTGCAAATCTCAAGTCCCAGATTCCCTCTCTTGCTTTTCACTCTGAGCAACACGCAAACGCACAAACTACACTACCGTTCTACTCCTCTCTCAGGATCCTCTGCAACGCTCCAATGCTGCAAATCTCGTGAAACTCCATGCCAGCCTTCTGGTAGTACAAGATGTCCACTCAACATGGCCCAAGGTTCGCAAAGGAAACCCTCCAGGGTCGACTAACATCACAAGCATCTTGTTCTCAACTACATTTCTACCAAATGAAGTGCCATAACCAACGTAGGCAAACCACACTGGCAATCATCGCTATAAAGACCATAGAGCTCGTCTCACAGTCAAAAGCGGCTTGCAGAAATCTCCGTGCTCGTCCATCCATCTAGAGAGGTACGGTACGATTGCTCTAAGCCAAAAGGGAATGCTTGCATTCAAGTTGTCTTCACATAAAGTCCAGTCAGTCTGACAACAACTCCAGAGTACCTACCTGTCTCAGGGTTCAATGTACCTTCTCTGCATCCGTCCCA